TCGTATACAAATTTATCTTTCTTTTTTTTTAATGCTTTTTTGTTCCCTTACTTTTTATGTAGTTATTTTTCTTTTACTAATATTTGATTTGTAACCCTTAAATAAAACACATTTCAGACAATTCAATAAAATAATTATTTCATATTGTCGCAGTATGGCATACTGTTGGTAACTATGGAAACTGATAGGACGTACTGCTTGCAGGTGTAACTTTGTACACTCATCACAACACTGGCTGTTATATTGTCAACCTACATGTATATATACCATAAGATTTGGCGTGTTGGTATAGATCAGTTGTGCTGGTATTTTCACATACAACTTAACAAATGTCTATAGTCAGAATGTCATGATACTCACCACATGTTGGTACACAGTTACCAAATTCATCTTCTATAGTGCCATTAGGACAGAAACAACCTTCTAAGCGTTGACCAACACAGTTCGTCTCTTCGTTAAATACGTTCATATTGGCACATGTCATACGACATGGCAAATGACATGCGTAGTAAATCTGATCTCCGGGGCACGTGACAGCTGAAATCAGACCAGGTAACGGTTAAAATGAGAATACAAATTGCATGAACGTTAATTGTATCACCGAACATTATTCAGTTTGCGAAAACTTATTTTCATGAATGTGCACATAAAGATCAATGTTAACTTGAAAAAATGGTGAAATGAGTTTTTGATTAATTAGTTTCAACCAGGTAATTGCTTCTCCAAATGTTGTCTTTGCTAAACATAAGCATTACACATTATACAATGCAATAATGACATCATTGTGAAGATGTGCCCAAACCAGAAATTCTATATATGTCTTTTCTGATCAGGATACATTTTTTTATTACTGTAAAATCTGTATTAGAAACCGTGGCTTTTATTGAAATGGTACAATGCAATTGAGGAGATGCCGCTTCTATTAGAGCATCTACACATATGAGAAATGATGAATTTTTGGATCTCAATTATTCAAAAAGATTTGGTGCGACTTCTATTAGGGATGCGGCTTCTAATACAGATTTTACGGTATGTCCCAATTAAATGCACTTACGACAATTGTGCTCGTCCCTCCAATCGAGACACATGCCTTCTTTCGAACATTCGCTGGCATACGCAAAGAGGGTGTCGCATTGTCCTGTTTTACAAGTCCTATCCATTAAACACGCTCTGTAGTACTTAGCTGGATCAACCAGCACGTTGCATGCGCTGAAAACACCTTCATAAATGGCCTTCTTGCACTCGTCATCGACTTCTGGAGTGATAGGGTATCTTGGCGGTACACTTGAGACATCGCATGTGGTATCGTTGCCAACATTGTATAACCAACTAGCGGCAAACTCATACTCGTCTTCAGTCAAGGTTCCATCTGGCATGGTAAAGTCATCTTCCGGGAATTGATTGCATGGACCTATGATTATATTGTAAGTATGTTAGACAAAGATAAACAATTTCTTTTTGTAAATTTGATTTTTTGACTGAACATACATCTGATACAAGTGATGAGAGATTACGTAACTTTTGGAAATTTCCTCAAAACCTCCATTTTTTGTTCAAAACTTCTTACATTAATCTTGGGAGATTCAGATGATGGGGAAAATGCATGTGGCAACAAATATTCTAAGTTCATAAACAAGAATAAAAAACGATTTCCAAATAACTGCGGAACTTGAAGAGACTTTAAAATGTTTTTTGTTTATTTTTATGTTTTGCAGTGGTGAAAGTGGGATGAAAGTGAGAGTGCTGCCAATGTTTGTTATGTGGTATCACAAATACATACATAGTTACCACTGATCACCATAATTTTGTACATAAGACCAATATTTTCCATGTGTTTCACAAATTTACCCTGTTTGACATTTTGATTAATCTAAATACTGGCAAAACTGTACATTCCATCTATATTACAACCAACAATTCTTGCTTTGACTGTTATGGTCAATCAGATATTGTACTTTATAGTATTGTCCTGATCCCAACTTAAGACAAGCATATTTAAATATTACAACAACTCACCACAGAGACCTTCTGTGTCATTGTACTTTGTACCAGGAAGCATAATGCTGAAGCCATCGTTGTAGTCATAGAAACTGACCTCTACTTTTATTTCTGGAATATTAAGATAGAGAATCCAAGCGCCTCCAGGACGTGATACCTGAATGCCGTCCACTTCCATATAAGAAGGTATTTCAATCTCTTGTCCATCTAAAATAACCTTGAAGTAAAATTTAAATTATTGGTAGCAGTATAATATGAGGTTATTACGAGGATACCGTACAGTATGCACGAAGACAGTACAGTGAGTATCAGGATGCAACAGCCTACTGTTTGAGCACCTACTTTGCAGTATCCTCGTAATAACCTTATTATTATACATCTTTTCCTTCCAAGGATACATCGGGGGAATGTCGAAAACAAAAAGTTTAGAACAGAATCAGCAAACTTCTTTGTGTGGAGTCCGGTCAAACCCTGGTGGCGGTCATGTTTGTTTTTATTATTAGAAGATGCTGCCATATTTGGAATTTGCATTTCCTAATATGGTAGGATGAAAATACCTAGTAAAATACCGCAAAATGGCGGCACGCTGTAACTCATGGCATTACGGTGACAGATATGTGCTCGTCATATTAAAGCGGAGGGGTTGTCGCGAGCGTGTCCTTGAAACTTGAGTTCCAAGTGGCGTATACAACAGATTGTTTATTTACATCAAAACACATGTTCCGTGTAGTAGTAATATGGCCAAAAATAAAAACAGTCGTTATTCGGCCATCTTTGATCTGGTTATGAAACACACTGATATGTATGATGGATGTGCCGAATACGAATGAAAATGGTACATAAATTGTGGAAATATAGTAGTAAAGCCAAAAAGTCAGTTGACTGTCAATCGGCCATCATTGACCAGATTTTGAAACAAATTGTCATGGACATGCATCCTAACATGTATAAAGTATATGTACATGTATGTGCCAAATTTGAATGAAAACTGACAGAGCACGTCCAAGATACCGCATAAAAAAAAAACAAGTTGCCTGCCAGTCGGCCAACTTTGATCCAAATGTGAAATAAATCGTCATGGACATGTATTCTAACATGTATAATCTATGTACCAAGTTTGAATGCAAACTAACAAAGCATGTCCAAAATACAACATTTTCAAAAAACAAGATGGCTGCCAGTCGGCCATTTTGAATGGAATCGCTAAACCACTGCATGTGCATATGTCCCACATAAAGTACTAGACAAAGAATGAACGGAATCGGTCCAAGGGATTCTGAGATATGACTCTGGAAGGACGCACATACGCACGGACGCACAGATGGAGACCGAATTATAAGTCCCCGTTTTCAGACTTCGTTCAAACGGAGACTAATAATTGTAATCAATAAATACTCATAATTGTTCTGCTACACATTGTATGTGCTTGGGAAGTGAGGTTGGCTGTTTTGATTTATGTTAAAAAGTTGTTATAAAACTAAATTTGTTTCATGTTGTACAGGCTTGTGCAGTAAGATCAGTTCTAATTATTGTTACAATGTAATACTGTAGAATACTTTATTTCCGCTTGGAATTTATTTTTGCTATTTTTCCTGAAGGGATGATTCAGTGAGAATAAAATCCAGCGAATGTACTTTTTTTACTATATTTCACTATATTTCACATTCAACTCATCAAAAATCAGTGAAAATAAATTCCATACAAAAACCCCCAAAAGCCTTTTCAGCGAAAATTTATCCCAGCGAAAATAAGTATTTTACAGTACTTATTGTACGAGCTTGTGCAGTGAGGTTGGCTGTTCTAATTAATGTCTGACTAAAGCATGTATTTGCTGACTTCAGTGTAAATAAATAACTGTCGACATTTGTTATTATTATTATTAATATTATTATTATTATTATTATTAACAAAAACATTACTTTGAATTGTTCCAACAACTATATGCACTTAAAAATTTCAAAGGTAAATTAAACGTAAATTAAAGTTATAATAATAAAACTAAATACCCAAATGGTCAATTACATATTGTGAGATCGCTGTTCTAATTAATGTTACAAAGTTGTTATAAAACTAAATAAAATACTCAATTTTTCTGTTACACATTGTACGAGCTTGTGTCGGCTATAATTGTAATTAATGTCTGACTAAACCATGTATTTGCTGACTTCAGTGTAAATATTAAAATAACTGTCGACATTTGTTATTATTATTATTATTATTAATATTATTATTATTATGTATTAACAAAAACAGTAGTTTGAATTGTTCCAACAACTACATGCTTTTAAAAATTTAAAACGTAGATTAAAAATGAAATCGGTTCATACCTGTGGACCCTGCGAAAGAATGACCTCGTGGTTCTTATAGATAACAGTCACATTCATGAAACACATGTTTTGAGGTCTTCGTGAGCATTGAGCATTTCCAAGCAGGATTTCAAACTCTGAATCTGGCTCCTTATTACGTGACAACACATACGTGCAATTTCCTTCGAACGGGAAGTAAGTTCCATCAAAGCTATAATAATGAATACCACCATACCCCATACAATAACCTGCAAGGAAATATCGATTGTCATACATCTAGAAAGTTGTAATAACCTTTCCAAACTTGTATCCTCTTGGAACCAAAAAATTGTGGTAACAGCGATAATTTTATTTGGCTTTATAGTTCCTTCCACTAGGGAACTATTTTTTTACTATTAAAAAAAAAATTTTTTCCCTTTTTTATTTATTTTTTCCCCAGAATTTTGACTAAAACCTGTAACCAATAGAAAATTATGTCCATTTTGTCCAAAATGATCAAAAAAATTACAGAAAATACTTAAAAATAGGCAAAATGTTGCTGGAATATTGGTGAAAAAAAAATTATGGCCTTCAAAAATAAATAACAAGATGTACAATATGTCTTGGCGTATGTTTCAAAGTTTTCTGGCACTGTATGAAATGATCTGAGTCAAGGCAAAGGTTTATATCCACTTTTGGTACAATCTGAGTCAAGGCCAAGGTTTATTTCCACTTTTGGTACGATCTGAGTCAAGGCCAAGGTTCATATTCACTTTTGGTACGATCTGAGTCAAGGCCAAGGTTCATATTCACTTTTGGTACGATCTGAGTCAAGGCCAAGGTTCATATTCACTTTTGGTACAATCCGAGTCAAGGCCAAGGTTCATTTCCACTTTTGGTATGATCTGAATCAAGGCCAAGGTTCATATTCACTTTTGGTACGATCTGAGTCAAGGCCAAGGTTCATATTCACTTTTGGTACAATCCGAGTCAAGGCCAAGGTTCATTTCCACTTTTGGTATGATCTGAATCAAGGCCAATTTTCATATTCACTTTTGGTACGATCTGAGTCAAGGCCAAGGTTCATATTCACTTTTGGTACGATCTGAGTCAAGGCCAAGGTTCATATCCACTTTTGGTACGATCTGAGTCAAGGCCAAGGTTCATATCCACTTTTGGTACAATCTGAGTCAAGGCCAAGGTTCATATCCACTTTTGGTACGATCTGAGTCAAGGCCAAGGTTCATATTCACTTTTGGTACGATCTGAGTCAAGGCCAAGGTTCATATCCACTTTTGGTACGATCTGAGTCAAGGCCAAAGTTCATATCCACTTTTGGTATGATCTGAGTCAAGGCCAAGGTTCATATTCACTTTTGGCACGATCTGAGTCAAGGCCAAGGTTCATATCCACTTTTGGTACGATCTGAGTCAAGGCCAAGTTTCATATTCACCTTGGTACGATCTGAGTCAAGGCCAAGGTTCATATCCACATTTGGCAAAGGTTCATATTATCTTTTGGTAACGTACATGTATCACTGCATGAATGGTAGCAAAGAAAAAAAAAGACAAATACTCACATTCTTTACATTCATCAAACCGGACACATGTGTCACCCTTTCTGACTAGTCCTGGTGGGCATCCACAACCAGGTGTACAGCCTGTATCACATAATTGATAAGGCTTGCCAATACTACTACATGTCCATTCACATGTACTCATACATTCGTACCATTGCATTGGGTGATGGCATACCACAGCTGTAATCAAAAAAAAGGGCATTACCCACATGTGTAATGGCACTAGTCGCATCTCTCAACGCTGTGCATATAGTTCCTCATTTAACCTTTTCACCACCAGTTCCCTCTTTTCATCACAATTTCACAAAATAGTCCTGTTTATAGTCTGCACTTTTTTTCCGACGATTGTGACAAAAAAGCAAAATTTTTTGAGTAAAAACTGAAAATTGATCCAAATTTTGTCTGTTGGCACCAAAATTAGGGTTCATTTTAAGAAATATTGAAGAATATGAGAAAAAAGTGGTGTATCCATGCTGTATTTTCACTCACTTTGCATAGATACACTGCATCACTGAAAATGAATTTAAAACGTTTTTTTATTGAATTTAAATCCAGATTTATGATGCTTTAAATTAAGCTACACAATTTGTTTTTAATTTCCAGATCAATACAAAAATGAATTTGATTTGTTGCTCAATTTCCAAAGAAAAAAAACAGGACAGATTACATCTTTAACAGTGGAACATAACTTTGGCTTTGTCATTGTTTTTAGTTTGAGTTGTACTGTACTGAAAAGTGGCTTATGTGCATAATATACTGTGAAAGTACCAACATTATTAGTACATGGGCATGTGACCAATTTGCATACTTTCATGGCTCTTAATAATCTTGTTTATGCAAAAAATAATTTTGAAGTTTTATCATTCAAATATGCATAAATATAACATTAAATGAAGTGTCAAAATGCACATAGGCAATTCAAACAGGGCATAGACTACCGAGAAAACTCAACTTCAGAAGGGATTATTTTATCCTATTTTCACATTTTTGCATCAATACCAATATTATTGAGCAAGGTTGTATAAACTATGAATACCTCACTACATAGATAATAAGAAAATAGAATGCATACACGCCTTGTATTACTCATACAAACCATTACTACTACAAATTACTATTATCTGTTTCTGAGTTGACATAACATTAAAAATAACTTACGACATAATTCGGGTGTCCTCCAGTCCAGTATGATATGGGCTTCACTGTTAGCACAGTCAGTGGCATACATAGTTAATGCCTTGCATAAGCAGGTATCGACTTCTGTGTCTGTATTGTTCCACAAGGATTTGCAGATACGACTCTCACATAGCTGGATATATTCTGTGACATTCACATGTTCGTGACAAGGGGCAAAACTACTGGAGCTGAGAAGAAAAACATTACATTAATACAAATTATTTTATTCAAAGCAGCTTCTTTTCCCTAAATTTGATTCAAAATGGCTGACTGGTGGCCATTTGGTTTTTAACAAATACTGTTGTTGGAACTGTATTATTCACATAGCTGTTGTAATTCATATGACAGGGTAGTGAGGGGAGGGTGACAATGGTATATATAATTTGAATATTAAAATCATGATTTTTTGAAAGCATAATCAACTAGTTAATAAGGACATGTAAATATATAATTGTAATCAGACATTTAATGCACATTTCTGTTTTTTTAAACAATCAATATATTTTACACTTATATTGGACATGACAACCACTGCCCTGTAATTACAGGGAATTGTTTCAAGCTTAAATGGAAAATTGGAAAAAAAAATGACATGTTTGAAATGACAAAATGACAAAACCATCCAGTAAAATTAGAGAACTGAATGTATTATCACGAAATGAACAAATCAAAGGTCCACTTAAGGTACATGTACATATACATGTATACATATATACCAAGTATCAGAGAATGGGAACTAGCAATTTTCAAGAAAAAGTTGAAAATGTAAGTTAGTGACAACGGTGACTACGACAGTCAATCAGTAATAACAACTCCACTCTGTTGATCTTGTAGGTATACACCCGTATGTATGTATGTATTGAAAATATTTCTAGTACATTGTAATATTTTATTTATCCAGCTATTGCATGTGAAATACATTGTTATAATATGAGGTTATTACAAGAATGCCTCAAAGTATGCACAAAGACAGTACAACAGGAGTATCGACAGATGCGCAGTGGAGATCGATTTGCGGCGTACTGTCTGAGTGCATATTTTGAGGTAATAACCTTATTATTATACATATTTTCCTTCCAAGGATACACCATGGGATTGCCATGCAAAATCTAAAATGTTTAGAACAGAATCAGCAAACTTCTTTGTGTGGAGTCCGGTCAAACCCTGATAGCAGCCATGTTTAATTATTAGAGGATGCTTATGTGCATAATCATTCCATATTTCGAATTCGCATTTCCTAATATTGTAGATTGAAAATACCCTGTAAAATACTGCAAAATTATAGCACGCTGTAACTTATGACATTACCATGACAGATGTACAATAATTCATTTTATTACTGTTAGGGGAGTTTGAAGGCTTTGAGCTGTATGAAATCTTTTTCAGCATGAGAGTTAAAGTGAACCACATGATCATTCAAAACATGCGCAGAACCAAATAAACAATTAGCGTACTAACCTCAAGATTGAACATTTTTCCCTTGCCGTGGCTACAACATGGGGAGGGGCTAAATTCATGCATTCTTCAGGTGGTGGACATGTGTCCTGTGATCCCCAGCTTTCGGCAAATTCAAATACATCATCAGATACTTGACCATCTCGATTAGTGTAATCATCTAATGGGTCGTTATTAGGAACACCACAAAGACCAGCTACTGCATCAAAAAATTGTTCATCAATCGAGATCACGGTCTTGTACGATGACGAACTCCATCGAATAGTTAAGCCGAATGTAGTTCTAATGATGGATTCTTCCCCGACTCTTATAAGCGTGATACCTATTCCAGATTCAAGAAGCTTGCTGGCTGCTGACAGCTGAGCAATCGTCACTTCATTTCCATTTATAATAAAAACTTCACCACTCAGTACAATTGTCGTTTCTTGTATAAGAAAAACTAAATCTTGCGTACAAACACTGCCAGTGTGACCATCATCTTGACAACTACTGCTAACTGAAACAAAAATCATATAATATGTATAGTTAATTAAATCGACCACATAACTTATTGTCATAAAAATATTGCATACTGAAACTTATTGGAATCTAATGATTATTAGTCAGGTGTCAATTTCAGAACACCGATGAAATAATCAATAGATCTTATAGAAGCAAATGACCATTGAGATTTTGTTGGAAGTGAGAGAACCACAAGACTTGATTTTACTCTAAATTGTATACCGTTCTCTTGTGTCATTAACTCCACTGTTCAATAAGTCAGCAGAACAGTGATGATGAAAGAAAAGGAACCCTATTTGAAGGGGCATGAACACGCCGTGTAGTTCTCTTGCTCTCAGGGAGATATCAGTGTCCATTCACATCTAGATCTATATGTAAAAGCCATTAAAATGCACCAAATATTAGTGATATATTTTGTTTTGTACTGGGAAATTTCAGGAAGTGTCATGATGTCTTTTATAATAACGGTTTATTATTAGACAATTGGTCGTCATGCATCATGCATGTTTTAACATGAAATAACAGACTATAAAGCATATTAAATTCAGGAGACAGAGTTAGAAGTTACTGTAAAAGGGTTAATTATTCATTGGGTTTTAATTTTGCTAATTTTGCTGACTGGAAAATGCGCTAAATTAAAACCTGGTGAATATGTAAAATTTAGCATAGAACACATTATCTAAATGATAAAACCGTGAATTTAAAACCCACTGAATATGCCTGAAATGGTAAATCAGCGAAATTTAAACTCAGTGAAAATTAATCATTTTACAGTAAGTGAGAAGATGAAATACATTCGCACCTTTGAGGCTAAAGTCAGGTACATCACTGTTTGTGTTGGTCACTAACACGTGTTCACATATGGGATACTCATATTTTTTGTCATCAAATGTGTTGATTTGGTTTTCAATGACTGTACACGTTTTTTCACATCCTGATGCATCACAATAAATAGCGTTGTCGTTTATACATTCACATTTTTTACAACCATCATAGAACGATTCACCAACTGCATAGAAGTGTCCATCGGGTCTGCATCCTGTAAAAAAAATATCATATATTAAATGGCACTGTTTGAAGACAGGACGATTGAGTGACAGCCGCATGTATCATTCGATCTTCAGTAGAAACACCATTTGTGAGTCATTTATGATGACGTTGGTAAACCAGAGGCATCTGGCATCTAAATTTTTTTGAGGAATCAAGTAATTAGAATTGATATGCAAGTACACACATGAATGCAACGCAATTCTGTGTCAATATATTAGATGGTCAGAAATGGAAATAGCAGCCAACAATAAACAAAAGTGTTGATTTTAATAAAACAGGTAACGAGTGTGATTGTCAAATGATAAGAGTCCTGACTGGGCCAAAGTATAGTAAAGTACATACAATGGCCATTAGTGGGTTCATATTTAAACATATACCGTAAACATTGTCTATAATTTGTATTGTATCTGAGCAACATATGTTAGAGGCTGAGGGGCACTTGGTCTGTGTGGGATTGCCGTGAGGAGATTCTGCCTGAGAAAGCGTGAAAGTAAAACTGAATCTATTTTGTGTGTGTAGTCATTAAGAGAAAAGAAAATCCTGACTAACAATCTGCCATGACAAGTTAATTTTTATATAGAAGTATGAAATATATTCAGAATTATATTATTATTACACCAGCTTATCAATTTCTTAAATATGTCACTGGACCTCTGAAAATGTTACGTCAAAATACATATTGGTGATGAAATACATGCACTATTGGTTTGTAAGAACCAAAGGTTAATAACTAGTCGTACACAATTTATTTATACTTTGTCATTGTATAATGATAGTCTACTAACATTATCAGAACAAAACATGTTCAAACAAATTTTAAGTTCAAATCATGGTTTAATAACCAACAGCCTGGGAAAATTCATCAATGATATTTTAACAGAAAACAAAAATTAAACTTTCAATATTTAACATTTTTTCTAACATTTATTTTATATTTTTACAGTGTTTGTTTATTTGTTTATAAAGTAATGTATATTGGCCATAGATGATGTATTTTCTATGCATTATTTTGTGTCAAATAAAATATACTATAATGAGGTATGTACGACCTAGAAATAGTGCCGTATGCGAGTACCAAGTTGCGAGTCGCAAGTAGCAAAATATGCTATATGCTAGTGGTAAAAACGGCATATGCGAGTGGTAAAATGTATCGTTTGCTAGTAGTAAAAAAGCCCTATATGAGGGGTAATACAAAGGCTTGTAACGTTTGCTTATAATATAACAACGTACGTTCAATTGTGTTTTATCACAATAAAATCAAATATTTAGCATGGTTATGAAATGATGTGTACATGGTTGGTTAAGATTGGCATGATGCTGTATCAAAAAGTTCGTTCAGTCATTTGCATAGAATCAATGTTTGCTCTTCACAAAATTGCACAGGAAACGTGAAAGCACAA